TAGTTGGTGGATAATATAGCGCAGAAATGTTTCTCAATTACTGTTTTACATTATTAACCATACATGATTTTAACAACCATTGAGGATATCAACTACAGGTTTTCCCGCTCATTATAATCCAAGTGCCAGCTTATCTAATCCGAGTGTCGCTGTATTCAATCCAGCTGTACACCAGTTTAATCCAAGTGTCAATGAATTTAAGCCAAGTTGTCAACAATTTAATCCCAGTGTCATTCATTTCAATTCAAGACTCACTCAATTTAATCCGTTTATATCTGCGAATTAACTATGACTACTAAATCCTATGTTACAACCGCTTTAGAGGTATAAGTTGCTTGCAAGTCATGAATGACTTTCCACTCTATATGTGCCTTGGGTGACTTGTTCTCTAGTGAATTTGAGGGATTTCTGAGACCATAGTACGTAAGCTCGAGACTAAATGACTGGAATGTTTTGTCGGTTTTAGAATAGTAACCAAAATTTTCAAGAAACTTGAAAGTGAATTCAAAAATTAGTATTTCAATTAAATGTCTTCATTCAAAGGCATGGAGATTTTGAATGCAAGTCAAGATGCTTATTTTCGACTGCGTGTATTCCACACTCGAATATGTGAGTTACGTGTCCTTGGTATGAAGGGCAAGCACAATGTACTTGAAATGATTGCGGTCATACGCCGCGCAATTAACACGTTGAATTTTCTGGATTGCTCCAAACTGCGACCGTTTGGAGCATCTGCTATTGGTGTTCTTTAAGGTTGTAGCTTCAGGCCGCGCAAGTACGACTGCGCTATGCTCACTGAGGTAAGCTTTCATGACGGACTTGAACTTGGAAAACATATTTTCAATTGGGTTGAAGAACAGACTGTATGGCGGTATTACTTCAAGGAGTGCCCCTGGGACAAGGCGGCGTCTGCGGTTAGTCGGTGTGCGGGAGCATTGTCAAATATAATGACCGCATCCTGGCCAGGAGCTGTTGCCATGATCTCCCTCTAAGCTTCCTCCAGAAAATCTTTGAAATTCAACATGGACACTTTTTCCACACTTCTCCACAAGAGGGTCCCACCAGCAGACATGTATGCGAGGATGCTGATATTGGGCCCTCTGGTACCTAGTTTACGACGGCGTCCTTCCCACGTTTTAACCTTTCAAACCTCCAACTACACCAAACATTAGAGTTTGTCTCGTCAATGTAATATCGAAGTTGAAGCGGGTCGTTTCCCTCTAGCCACGAAGCGCACTCATTTCTTGCACTTTTTACGTCATCGCGATTTCGGTCAACGGGCTGCGGAGAAAGTTGCTTTGTTGTGTAACCGTGTCCATTCAAAAGTCTGCCAATTGTAGATAGGCTGATTTGGATGCCTGGTCCAGTTGCTCCAAGCCCTTGTTTGAGTGGTCTCAGCGTGTAGGTTGGGTCTTCATCCACCATAGCTGCCAGATCTTGCACAATATCCGAGGTCTTCTCTGAGCCTCCTCTGGGTTCCGGTTCATCTCTGTCAGTCCTCGCGATTGACCGAGCAGTTTTCACTTTAGTCCTATAGTGTTTCAGCAAGTTGTTTGATGTCACCGCCTCATCGCCAGCAGTCAAGCGACGCCCGATCTTGATCGTATACCTTTTGGTATGATTGTTTAGGTAGGGCTGGATCCTTTAGACGCCGACCTCGACCCCTTGCTTTAGAAAAACTCATTGCCAAGAGCATTCACAAATTCGGGTGACTTGCATGCGAATCATCGAACCAAGAATCGGCCGCCGTCTGCAACCAGACGGGAAATGCCAGTTTATCCTCTGTAACCGCGGCACGGCGCAAGCATTCCACTAAGTGTTTGCAGACGACGCAAGAAGCGCTGCCCGATGGTTTCATCAACGGACGCCGTCTGCTATTCCTCGAAGACCGTCTGCGAAAACTTCGCGGTATGTTTGAACCGGGCCGCGGCTTTATCAACGGGCTTCGTCTGCTACTTTAAATCGTCCGCAAACACCTCGCGGTATGCTTGCGTCGTGCCGCGGTTGCAGACAATAACCTGGCATCTCCCTCTTGGTTTCAAACGGGAGCCGATTCTCAACTCTCCGAGACAAATCTACAATTTGCACACTTTTGAATGGACACGGTTACGCGACAAATCAATTTTCTTCGCAGGCCGTTGACCAAAATCGCGATGACGTAAAAAGTGCAAGAAAAGAATAAGCTTCGTGTCTGCAGGGGAAAGGCCCGCTTCAGCTTCGATATTGCGTTGACGAGACAAACTTTAATATTTGGTGTGGTCGGAGGTTTGGGAGGTCACAACGTGGGAAGAAATCCGTCGTGAGAACTACAGGTACCAGAGGCCCCGTTATCAACGTCCTCGCATGCATGTATACTGACGAAATCCTCTTGTGGAGAAGTGTGGAAAAAGTGCCCTCGTTGACTTTCAACGAATTCCTGGAGGAAGTTTCGAGGGAGATCATGGCAACAGCTCCCGGCCAGGATGCGGTCATTATATTTGATAACGCGCCCGCACATCGACGAGCCGCAGACTCCGCCCTGTCCCAGGGGCACTCTTTGAAGTACTTACCGCCGTACAGTCCGTTCTTCAACCCAATTGAAGAGCTGTTTTCCCAAAATCAAATCTGACGTAAAAACTTACCTCAGTGACCAGCGCAGCCGTGCTTGCGCCGCCCGAAGCTACCGTCTTAAAGGAACACCGAAGGCAGGTGCTCCAAACGGCGACGCAAGAAGCAATGCAGAGATTTCGAAGTGTTGATTGCGCAACCCATGACCGCAATCATTTCAAGTTCATTGTGCCTCTCCTTCAAACCGAGGACATGTAACCCACATATCCGAGTGTGGAATACACGCAGTCGAAATTCAGCATCTTGATTTTCAATGAAAATGTTCGTGTCATTGAATGCACACACCTAATTGAATGCAAATGTGACAAACACGGTTTCACTGTCAAGCCTCTTGAAATTTTTCGTTACTATTTTAACACCGACAAAACATCCCTATCATTCATTCTCGAGCTTACGTATTATGGTCTAAGAAATTTTTCGAAATTCACGAGAGAACAAGTCATCCAACGCGTATACACACTGAAAAGTCACTCGTGACTAGCAAGCAACTTAAACCTCTAAACCTGTTGTGGCAAATGAGTTAGTAGTCATAGCTAATTCGCAGATATGAACGGGTTAGATTGAGCGACTCTCGATTTAAACTGAATGGCGTTAGGGTTAAATTGTTGGCAACTTATTTTAAATTTATTGGCACTTGGATTAAATTGGTGTGCAGCTGGATTAAATTCAGGTACACTCTGATTAAAAAAAGCTGGCACTTGGAGTATTATGAGCACGAAAACCTGTAGTCAGTAGGAAAGTAGCAATGAAACATGTGGGACTGACCAGGATAGGCTCTTGAGCAACCAAAAGTACCATCAACTGTATTTCGTGATGCTCAAACATTTGAAGACATCCGAATATTATATTTCTGAAGTAATGAAATATGTTGTAATGGTCATATAAATTATAATGTTATTATATGTAATTCTGTTGCGCTTGGACCGACAATATAATAACATTAGCATGATCAGTAGAAGAGCGATTGACAATTTTGAAGACGTGTTCCAAGATCTACGTTTATCGCTTCATGTTTTGACCGCCAGGGTTGTTAATGTGTGCGGCACACGCTGATAAACGAGCAGGATTGAACTAACAGCATTCTCGTTCGACTTACGGTCGCCGTAAGTTGAACGAGAATGCTGTTATTTTAATCCTTCTGGTTTATCAGCGTGTGCCGTACACATTAACAACCCTGGCGGACAAAACATGAAGCGATAAACGTAGATTTCGGCGCACGTCTTGAATATATATATATATGTGTATATATATTAGAAATTACTTATGGTGCTTACACCGAAGTAAAACCAAGTTAATAGGGTTTAGAGCACATTCAAGAACCAGGCCTGTGAAGAATGATATGCTAAGAAGGGTGGGTCATTGTGCTAAGAAGATGAATATTGAGTTCACTAAGGGGGAGATAGCCATGTGGTATTAATACAAACAACGAGATAAGATGAGGCAGCGAAACGCATTGCGTCAAGAACTAGTGAAGCATAAGAACATGGTTCGCGGACAGGGTCCCTCACTTAAAATACAGAAAGAAATTTATTACAGTCTTAAAATTTTCTATTATGGCATGACATCGCCATCAAGAACAATTTTAACAAATCTGGGTATATCTGGCACCTAGCACAACGTGAAATGTTGAGTGTAGCATACAGGGCAAAGTAATGACAGGTCTTGGGTTATGGGTTGAGCTTGTTTTCGGTCACATTTTGTTCTGATAAAAATTGGGGTGCACATTGTCCTTCAGCAAATCAACAAGGAAGACCATATACGAGTCAGTGAAACATCTTTTACATCAAAAACAACAACAATTGCATCAAAAACAACAGAGAAAAAAGGAATATCTACACTGCAGTTTATTACAGTGCGAAAGCTACAGGCAGAGGTAGTCCACAAACAGAGTATCCTTAATTCATTTTTAGTTTTATTACGCCGCGCCAACGTTTGCATCGGAGCGATGGTTCGCGGAATGATAATTTATCTCATTCGCACCAATTAATTTGGATGAATGAAGCAGCTATACCCTCGTGCCGTCATACCCTTAAACCTCCAGTGGAGGATTCAAGGGGGGGGGGGGGGGGGCGACGGAAGCGGCCGCCCCCCCCCCTCATACAAAGTCGACCCCCCTCCCTCCCCCCTTCTCGGAGACATGGGTGGACTCCCTTGCACAAGAAAGAATGGGAGAATATTATCCTTAAATAGCCCCCTCCCCCCCCCCCCCCCCCCCCATAACGGAGTTCTGGATCGCCCCTGTAAACCTCGTGATTACCGCTCTGACTGCGAGCAGTGTCAACACTTAACATTTTTCTACAACGCCACACGTGGGAGCACCTGCCCCCTGGCGGTCATGGCGGCCATTTCAAGGACCTCAAAAAAGCAAAAACAAAACAAACAAAAAAACTTACCGGTTGAAGCCGCCAGTGCGCGCAGGTCCCGGTGAAGGTGGGGAATAGTGGATGGGCGAACCAAAACACAACTTGTTCCTTCGCAGATGTTGTCCCGGTTTCTAGGCTAGGCCTTGGAGAAGAAGGAGGGCGAGTGAAAAGCAGAAAGAGAGGAAGGAAAGAGAGAGATGGAGAGTGAACAGGAGAGGGGGGTCACCGTCATCTTGCCGGAAATATGCGCGGACAAAAACAAACAGTGGAAGCGGGAAAAAAAGCACATGGAAGAGAAGAGGCATGGAGGGGGGGTTGGGGGGAGGTCCTTTCTTTGCTCTGCCGAGGTTTTCTCTTCCTGCAGTTGTGGAGGAACGAGACGAGGACAAGAAGGTCGTGGCACGGCGGAACGACTCCGTGTGGAAGCGACGCCTTTGATCGCGTTCTTCGGTGTGGACGCGAGAGATCTGGAATGGGTGTCAGGCCGCGCGGGGCGAGGCCGCATCGCACCGGGGGTAGGCGATTATTTTTAGGGCCCCTCAACGCAGACTGTTCGGTTTGTCTATGACCTCCTCGTGTTTGAGTCCTGTCTTGTCGTCTTCGCCTCCCCCGCTTCTCGTAAATTGTCAACAACTTCACTGCGGATGATACCCGACTGGTGTTCTTCGCACTATGCGTGTTTTTTGTTTCCTTCAGGATACTGAAATATTGTTGCCACTTTCCTGCGTGTATCCTTCGGCTTAAAGAACGGCGCGCCATTGTCCTTCAAGGGCAGCGGACAACGTTTACGTCAGGTCACTCACAGCTTGAGAAACGTACGGCACGTGGAGTCATCCCGAGTATCTCCTTATCGCTGGGCAGCCAATCAGACTGAGGCATTATCCAATAAGAAGGCCGAGGAACCAATCGGGAGGCTAGAAGCGTGAACACGATGAACCGCGCCCTGCGTTTCTCAAACCGTCACTGACCATAGACCAACGTTGCTAAAACACCCAGTTGAGAAACTCGCCCTTAAAACCTGGGCCTCTGGCGTCCACCGAGACCGAGCTAAGTACGATAACAGCGCCACTCTTTAGCGACGAGTTGGCTTTATATGGCTACTGCTAGAGTCACTGAATGTTTCCAACATACCGAAACTCCCAGGCTCGAGGTGCCAAGATGGCAGCTCAATTTTTCATCTTTACTGTGGTTACCATGAGCTTTTAAAAAGCATGTTTTGCGTAAAACCCAACAGAAAAGGCTCTTTTTGTAGGAACTTTTATTGGAGATTAGTACAAAATGACAGAAGCGTAATGTTTGCATACCATTTTAGTTTACACAGTTTTGCGGCACAATTAATGTTGTTTTTATACAGCCATGTTTTACCGGTGACTCTAGGTAGCGCGTCCCGACCTGGGTCCGTCCTGACTTCGGTACATAATCGCGGCGCGTCCGCTTGGGAGGCGTGGGTTGGCAGCCGTCCCTTCCACTGTATACGTTTCGGCGCCAAAAAATGTCGGATTAAAGTCAAAATCACACAGACGCAGCGGACGCTATCGAATGCGATACTCCCGAAACCAGTACAAGCAGCCGTGCAGTTCCCCAAGTGGCCGCTGCGGGAGAAATGGCGGCGCTGCAATCGCCAATAGTTCGGTTCTCGGGTACGGATTGGTGCCACTTTTTGAGACCAGGCCCTATGGCAGTTTTCCAGCTTAGTTGCTCCAGTAACGTTGCTATAGACCGACTCAACCCTCTGACATCACGATGCATTGTGATGGCGCTGCTGTCGGCACCGCGCATGCGCGGAAGGTTCGCCTCACGCAAATCTGGTTTCTGCGCACGATACAGACGATACTTGACGAACACCATGACGGTGCACTTTGCTCGATTTGCTCCCTCATTGGCTGCGCTCGTATACTTGGTGCAAAACGGGCAATGAAAAAAAAAAAGTATCGCTCGGTAATTCGACTCCGACGGACACGGCATGCGGACGCGAAGCAGATATAGGCTTACAGCAGTGTAAACGTAAGACACTCTCGCAGCGGCATTGAGAACTGCTTGCCATAACTCGTTATCTGAGAAGGCTCGTCCGATGTCTGGCACAGATTTGGGGAAATGAATCGTGACTGTCTCGGGAGAACTTAGAGCTGCCAGCTCGCGGGGGTCAAGGAAGAGGGCGCCGATAACGAGGCTCGTTATGCAACGCGTGTGTCTTGGGCGCCATTCGTGCGAAGTCGAGTTCTGCGCGAAGTGTGTTAGGCACGTACGGCCATTTTAATACTATGGTTCCGCTGAGACCGTTTTACATTTTCGGAATTTGGCTTTGGTTGAAGTAAAGATGGTTCTTTTTTTATATGACGTTGATGTTTGGGCCCCCCGCGGTGTCGTTGCGGGGCCGCGATGGTCGATGAGGTCTTCTTCGACGTCGAGTCAGATGAGTGCGACAGAGACCTTCGTGGTACCGCAATATAAAAATAAAATCTTTATTTACACTAAAATATACAAAAACACTTTGCTACGCAAAATATACTCAATTCCTTATGCATGTACAAAGTATAAGATTCCTAATTCACCAGTTACGCGGGGTCAACATCACAGCCCAAAAATCGCCCACTCTCGCTCGGCCGCAGGCTTTTGAGGACTGCAACCTGCTTGCCCTCGGGCAGAAGTTGGCCAATTGTTTATTATTTTTGTGAAGGCACGTCACACACATTGACCAATAGTCGACATTGACACCCGTCGGGCCAGCAACGGACCCCGGCTGACAGCTACGATGAGAATCCTATGCTGCCCGCTGTGCAGTGAGTGGGACCCCGCCACCCCGGCGCCTCTGCCGAGAACCGACCGTCTTCGGAAGAGGCTCGCGGGGGCGTACTGACCCCCGCCAATAAAAGAAAAATAACATACGAAACACGTTCAGCCGGCGGAAAGTTCATGAGGAATGATCCCTCGCCCGACATACCGAAACGGCCGGGGGAACCACAAATATCGCTCGTTCCCAAACCACAAAAGCTCGACCGTCCTTACGGTATACTTGGTGTCTGCCACCTAAAATACCTAATTACGGAACTATTGACCTTGAAAGTTTTATATATTTATTGAAAGAAGTCTTCTCAAACTCCAGGAGAGAATGACGCGCAAACCAGGCAAAAAATAAACGAGCAAAGCAGCACATAGTTATCCCCCTGCTTCAATGGTACTTAAAGGTCTTCAGAACAGATCTGTACAAAACTGACAACCAGAGCATGCACAGGGGCACGCCTGCAATCGAGATCGCACGCTGATTTGCCGACTGTCTAAAGGCCTTCGTTCTGGAGGTCTTTTAATCGTCTCTAAAAAACAAGGGAGGGTGTATTTATACCTTTTTTTTCAAATTTAACGACTTTTTTTTTTTTGATATGATTACATCGCGTCACAACTAAAAATGGCATTCCCTCGCTCAACGCAGTTCGTGGGACACCTTCAGCTCTTCAAACTTCTTGTGGCATTTCGGACAACAGGAGGGTGCGCATGCATGCAAAGCATTACTCTACGTTCATGCACTGGTTTCCCTTCAACTGCACACCCACAGAAAGTTATCCGAGATAATAATGGTACGTGCCCTAAACACAACATATCGAATTAAAAAAAAAAAAAAAACTTTTTGATATTTTTTTTAGCAAGTGTTGGCGATCAACAGCTATATGCACTTCTAGACCTCTTTGTACCATATCTTGTGGCGTGCATCCCTATGAAGCAGACTTGTAGGGTACTCACAAGTAATCAAAATACTCATAATTCATTACTTTTCGGAGTAATTTTGTAATCGTTCGATTACATGTATTAGAAAGTAATCACAACAGTAATCCGAATACTTTTGGAAGCAGTAAAATTGCTTGTAACCGTAACTTTTTGCTTCTCCCGTTTTTAATGGCGTCCTTTGTTCCTTCAACTTTTCTACCACCGAGTTCTGGAACGAAATCTCCGAGAGGAGTATCGTTTACCACAATTGGTGGAATAAGAAGATAAGAAGTCTATAAATCGCTGATTCTAATCGAATCATGAACAACACGAAAGGCCCGTTTTTGAACCGGCAGAAAGCTCAGTTTTGAAAATCTGAAATAATGGAAAAAGTAACGTTTTTTTTTGTTTTCTTTAAGTAACGGCCAATTATACTTTTCGTCTTTGGTAATCGAGTAATACAATTGAATCCTTTTAATCCAAGTGTAAAATTTAATTCTTATCGATAACTTTCTTTCTTGCTTCTTTTTCGAGTAACTTGTACAAGCCTGCTTTGGAGTTGCACTCGTAAGAAATCATGAAGGGTCTACCTTCCCGCAAAAGCGCAAGGGAGAGCCAATCACTGCAATTTGAGGAGGAAGCTCGGCCAATGACGGGGCTGCAAATACGCCTAGGCCTAAAGAAACATTCTACGCCGTGGCACTGGCGGGGTGAAACGTCATTCTCATTGCCACAGCGCACACTGTTTTTTTTTTCTTCAGGTCAGTTTCTTTAGGTCAGTTTCTTCCCCCCCCCCCCCCCCCCCCAATGCTTTGCAAGAAAGTAGACACTTCAGGTTTTTCTTACAACGCGAAGTGGCGAAATGGTGATGGCGATGGCGATGGCGTTGGCGATGACGATGACGATGTCAGATCGGCTGAAACGAGCTTGACCTTGACGCTGCTGGCCAATCGCGGCGACCAGAAATCTCGCCGACTAGCTTTCCGAATGTCCAGCGAGTTGTGGAAGCTGGCGTTTCACACGCATCGCCCTCGTCGGCCTCCGAAGCCTGGACCACTCACCTTTCTGCGGCGTCGCGGCTCTCAGAAAGCGTAAAGCCGAGGTCACACTGTCCATACATCGTACAAACGACAGTCTGGAAGCACGAGTCGCCGCAATATGCGCGGTTCGAATGACAAGTGTTGAAGTTTCTCCTTGAACTCATTGCCATGCGGCATTCGAATCACAGATCTAGCAGTGACTCGCGTTCGAATCTCTATGCAGACTGTCTTTTGTATGGTGTATAAGCAGATTAACCCCGGCTTACCGTATCTTATAATCGCTACTAATACAGTCATTAAGAGTTTAATAAAGACAGGGCGTAGCTTACCACCTTAACTCTTAGAAATAGGGGGTGTATAGGGGTAGTCCCCTTTTCCCGTATGTAACACCCCAAAACTACATTTGGACGTTCTGTCCACTGACGTCGAGCTGGTGACACCAACTTTTACGAGCCGCTTGATAGCTGTTGGATATAACGCACTAAATAGCTAATCTGCGTACCAAACACTAGAACAAAAAACGGAGGTTTGGCAGCAGTGCCAAACAAAACCTTGATTGACTTACTGTAGCTTTTAATGCATACATTAGCTATTTTAATAAGTTGCATCGGTCGACTCTATGGCCGCTCGTGAAAGTTTGTATCGTCGGTCCGACGTCTGTGGACTGAACGTCGAATTGTTGTTTTGGGGTGTTACATGGGAGACAAGGGGTGTACCCCTATACACCCCCTATTTCTAGGAGTGTTCATGTTTCGTAATTCGGCATTCTTGTCGGCTATTTACTGTTTTATATGCTGCGATGAATAATAAGAAACGGTCGGTAACCTTAGCACAAAAAGGTATAAATTCTCGCTGCCTTTAAAGCGCAAGTTTGCTTTCCTTTCTTCTGTAATTTGCGTCTCGCCATCATAAAGCCAGCTGCAATCGAGATCGCTTAAATCCCAGTTTGAAAATGCAGTTGATAAGAGAACTTTGAAGACTGTCAGATATCTCAGATGCTTTTGGCTGTACATGTCGTTGGAAATACCGAGACTGTAAACCATCCGTTTTGCAACAATTGCCACTTTCAAGCGCTTTTGTGGAAAGAATACACGTATCAGCCTTCATAAAGTGCAGGAAACAGTGACGTCATTATGGTACCCGCTTTTTTGCCAAAGGTTCCAATTAGAAATGTTTCTGAACATAAAAAGTTGAACCACTAAAAAATCATAAGTCGTTTTGCGGTCGATAGGGTGTTGTCTCACAATACGAAATCCAACCGACCATTAATTCCAACGTAACAAAAAAGCGGCCTTTTGAAGACCATCGCAATTTTCCGCAGTACCTGACGTTCATGGACATACAATAGTTTGTAGCCAGTTAGTTAAGTACAAGCGTAAATGAGATTTTTGACAAGGGCTATGAACGATGTCGGCGAAGACTGTTTGTTGTTTGTCTCTCCAGTGGGACAAGTCTAATACTTTTTTTATTAATCAAATTGGAATACGTCCTTGGTCTCACAACACGACTCTACAGTGATACGCGAAACCGTCAAGTTGAAGCGTAAGATTCGAACACTGCAGCTGCAACACTCGCTCAGAGCCACTCACATCTGTGAAATGCGCCCGGAGACCAGGAGCGTATCCTACGAACTACGGGACATGCCCGTACGACCAAGCAATTTCTTTGCTGGATTTTGTAACTGGAAAATAGTCCACAAGACGGGAGACGTCATAACTAAGTTAAGCACGCGCACTTTACATAACAGGCGATGAATGAATGAATGAACGGACTTTATTTGGAGCAGCTCATAGTCCGAGATGCTTTGTGGCTAGTTTTGCCACTGCTAAACTAGCCACTGCTGTTAATAAAAAAACTAGAAAAATATGGTTTTCGTGGACAGGTATCAGCTTTAATTGCGTCATATCTTTCACATCGTAAGCAATACGTCCATATAAATGGCTATTTTTCTAATATAAAACCAATTGAATATGGAGTTCCCCAATGAAGTGTTCTAGGTCCCTTTTTGTTTTATTTATATGTCAGTGATATCGTGAACTTAAATAAAAATATCAAATATGTAATTTACGCGGACGATACTAGTTTACTATTTGCAGGTAATAACTGTAATGAACTAATAAATAACGCAAATGAAACTCTCAAAGACCTAGTTAAGTGGTGCAGTTGTAATGTTCTAAAGATCAATGAAAATAAAACAAAAGCGGTTTTATTTCACCCAAAAAACAAGAATGTTACTATTACTTGTGATATCGTTTTAAATTCGACTAAAATTGAAGTCCTAGCTTTAAGACTCTTGGTGTTGTATTCACGGATCAAATGCGATGGGGCGATCATGTTAATTATATTTTGCTTAAACTATATCGCGCGTTGTTGGCTTGATGTATCGACACCGCCATCTTTTACCAAGAAGTGTCAAACTTTTAATTTATAAATTTAGTTTTCTCTCATATAAATTACTGCCACCTAGTTTGGGGTAATAGTGCAAGTACAAACTTAAATAAGCTACTTCTGTTGCAGAAAAAGATGCTAAGAAACATTTCCAATGTCCCATATGACCACCCTTGTGAACCCTTATTTAAAAGTTTGAAATTTATTAATGTTAATAGTATATATAGATATCGTTCGTGTGTGTGTTATAAATCTGAAGTACAAAAAAATCATCTTAATCTGATTGACCTGGCTTCTCTTGCTCCAAAAGTACCAACTTACCTCACTCGAAGTTTGCAAAACCGGACGTTACCCAATATTAGAACGACCCATGCTGAGCATATGTTATTTTATACGCTTCCAAGCCTACTTAATTTTCTTAGCTCCGAAAATATTGATCCCATTAAGTCATCGAGACAAGATATTCGAGAATTTTTTTTCCAGTGTGTTTTTTTAGTAGTCCTTCGCAGAGTTTTGCGATGTATAATGCTTTGTATTTTCTGTGTATATATCGAAATGTATACATGTATGACATTTTCATTTTTATGTTACTGCGAAAAACGTTAATATTGCCGCCCGATTACTTTTTGAATGTCATTGTGTCTTGTTTATTTTTTCATGTGCCACTGCTGTTTGTGTGAGAGGAGGGCCGGGGACTCGTCGAGGCTGCATGACGCAGCTTTTTTCCTCAGTCTCCCTACATCATTTGTTTGATGGAAAAATAAACACTATTATTATTATTATTATTATAAATACTAGTCGCCCTTTTGCTTGGGATGAGTGTCCGTTTTGCTTTGCGTCACTATTGCTGCCGTTGGCGGTGAGTCGAAGACGTGCTCGACATGATTTTGAAGTTTCGTTCATAAGAACGTCCGCAAGTCCGATGGCGGTGCGGCCCAGCTCTCCGTGGGGACGTGGGGAGCCGTGTTTGTCTGAGAATATGTGGCGAGTTTTGTGCTCTCGGGCATTTTCAGTAGGCGTGCCGGTTGCCCAAAAATTAGGCTCCGCATGCTTGCCATTTCAGTCGTCCTTGGAAGTTGTGTATGTAGTGTAATAAACATATTCAATAAATGTTTCGCCTCCCATACGGGCGTCGTCGTAATTTTTTCGCAAACAAAAGAATGAGGTGGATTCGTAGTAAGAGCCGGTTGCAGGAAGAGATGACACAACTTGCAGTCCTTACAAAGATGGACGCCTTTATTGGTGATCAGTCACGTGACATCTTCCGACGACAAAGTGAGGCGAGAAGAAAGGACAAACGTAACCGCGACATCAACGCAACAAAGAGAGAGGCAGAGGAAGGAGTTATACACCGGCTGCCACATATCCGAACCCGCCGCGCTGACTTTGTTCACACTACGAAAACGAAACGACAGACACATATTTGCAGTCGCTTTGGGGGAGCACAGAGGATTCAGTGATATGTTCATGAATTGTTCCTTAATTGCCGCTTGGACTATATCGTTTTTGGAGAACCCAGCGAACGCCAACCAAAACACACAACGCCCCTGGCTGTTTGCTTCTGTTTGTATTTCTATAAACTAAATAATTTCCTTGCATCCAGCTTGCCTCACAGCAGCCGAAGTGTAAGTACGGATTGAGTCAGGGATGTGACACAAAGCTTGACTTGAATATGTGCTCATGAGTTACATTGCACAATTTACTTTACTTTTTATTATCAGGTAGATGCTCACGCATTTTTTTCATGGTGTGTTGCTTCACGTTCCTCTGTTCTAAACGCTATCAGGTCAAGAGGTGTATCTAATTATATTCTACAAACTGGATCGCCACTACAATGACACAGCGTTTCTGATTGGGAACGCTACGTCGTGGCCAAGTTAAGCTCCAACTCTTTCTTTTCTTTTTCTTTTTTTGTCTTTTGCCAGCATTGCGGTCTTGGGTTCATTGCGGCCGAGGCTCGTTCGAAATCGCACATTTTGTATGTGATCTCATCCTGTAAAAATGAAATATGAGGGTGAGTTGGTTTACAGAAACGTATGCTGCGCTAAGTGCCCAGCAGCGGTCTAAAAAAGAAGGCCATCAAAAGTTACTTAGCTGCAAACTCTGAATCTACGTTCTGAAAGCCGCTTTCAAAGGCGGAGGTTCCACTCAAAACGTGTCATTAGAAAACGGTGAGGCATGTTTAAGAAACGAAATAACGAAGCCAAAAGAGCGGAGTTTGGGTACAACAGACACGTGGTGCTTCACCAAAGCTCGGGGGCACTTATCATTACGTTCTAGGAACACCTAAAACAAAACTAAATGTAAAACGATACTCAGGAGAAAAACTTAATGGGATGGTTAACTGCCGTTTCTAGAGGGGTTACACCCTGTCAAATGTTTGCAGGAATTGTCCTAAAAGTTTGTGGCACGGATACTTCTTTTAGTCTTGACGTTGAATTATTGGCCTATTAATATTAAAAGCAGTGTTTGGGAATAACCGCTTCAAATGAAGATTTGGCTGTATTCTTTTGCAGTTCAACCTTACAGCTGGTTAGTATCCGAACAGATTTATCGGAAGCACTTCTACACTCAGTGCATGTTTTTGTTTTATTTTGATTGGTTCAGGTCCATAGGAGAGTTCACTTAACACGATTAGTATTCTTGGGAGAAGCATTTACACTGATAAGGGTGTGCAGTTTTTTTTTTTATTGCGCAGAAAAATTAACACCGACAACAAAAGAAGACAAAAGTGACCTGTATGGTTTGTACAAGTGAACTATAAAGTTAAGGTCCGTTAACAGGTGCTGTGTGGTGGACTTTGTCATGGGGTAGTAGGCATTACACGCAGTAGCAGTAGACAGTATATATTTATATGTATATATATATAATATGTACCAACTTCGAAAGACTGATTTCAAGGCATTGCGCTTTCTAGACTGTCTAAAAAAAAGCGCTCATAGTTGTATACACTCACATGCACACTTATACACAAAAAACGCGCGCACTTTGAAAGACAACAGTTCTGTTTCTTTTTTTTTTTCTTCTTTTTTTTTTCTTTTTGCTTGGCTGGTTGTGATTGGTCGGGAGCGGCACGAGGTATGGCGGACAGCGACGGATGATAATCCGGAAAGGATTATGCGGCCGGCAATAAATCCTACATAAGACGCCTCGTGCGGTATGTTTGTCATTGTATGTGTGTCTGTGTGTTCCTCTCTTTTTCCGGTGCTATTTCCAAACGCAATGTTGAGGGTGCCTCTTCGTAACAACGTGACGATGACATAGCCGTTAAAACACGAACATCATTAGTTTGGATACAGGATTTGTACTGTGTTCTAACAAAGCACCGGGAAATACACATGTCATACAAAAAAAAAAAAAAAAACGAAGGAAAAGAAAAGCAAAAGAAGAAAAAAAGCCTATCTAAATACAAGGCTTTTGCGAGAACCCTGGCGCAGTCAGCGTTCCATCCTTCAATTGGGGAGTAAACAAATCCCCAAGGAAAAAAAAAACATGTATTTACACTAGTAGTTTTGAAATATTTGTGTACAGTTACTTTCTTTTTGTTTTTTTGGCTGGGCTGTAACGTGGTCTGTCAGAACTAAACACTTCGATCTCTAACAGAAACACGACTTTCGGCGTACACGAGCGGTTCAAGCTAGAGCTTTTCACTTGACGCTGACAGCGGTATGCACTCAAGAAACTATCCGACGTGACAAACCACCATATGTTTATGACGTTACAACAAGGTTGTGTCGCTGGCTGTGCAAAGGAGCACTGGCTAGGTAGCGCGAGCCACCGTCTGAATAAAAGGACTCAGCTGGTAATCATCCATCCGTTCATCCAGTATGTGCAGATGCTTCGCCCTTCAAAAAAACAGGTTTCTGTGCTCGCGCGATGGCCTACAGCTCCTGTGAGCAAGCAAGCTTGGTTTGTAAACGAGTCCATCTCCGACGTTTGGACGCAATCACCATTTCTCGGGATTTATCACGATCGATATGTTATCGGGCCTGGAAGGATTGCAATACATAACTGACGCAACCATGCTTGATAGCAAGTCCAGTTCATTTACATAAAAAACAATGAAAAGAAACAAGTGTAGCTTCCACTGACGTGAGATAATTCTGGACCTAACTGATCTGCCTAAACAAAATGAACCGACTGGTATTGTATGTTCATCATAAACGCCTACGCTTTTAGGTAGTTACAGAGCGCGGGACGGTTGATATGTCGTAAGGTTATTGCTCGAGATATGCTAATGTAAGTTTTTAATGCGAAAGCATTTTTTTAAAGCCAGTTCGCGTGCTAAACTCGACACGCGGCTGAACCAAATGTTCCAGCTTTAATGCACCGTCGAAACCCTAACAGTTGTAATTTCGAGTATCCCTCAGCTCTGTATAGTTATAGAAACCTTATGAAGACTAAGGTACGTTTACTGTTTTGATTAAACAACTGACACAAGGCGAAGGTACGATAAACAACCGAAGTAGCAGGAACAGGGAAATAACGAAAGAAAACGTCTCAAACATAGCTGAATCGTTTGTTCAGTTCAATATCGTCCTTCCGTCTTTTCTACTTTGGTTACTTTTCGTATATTTACCGACTCAGGTATTTTAACAAAGTGGTAAACAAATCCCAGCTCTCCTGCACCATCGCTGTATAATCCCTAAGGTATGCGTTTGGTAGAAACCTTATCAATGGTCGAGAACGGAGTTAGGACACCTAGGCTTTTACGCCGCCGAAGACATGAGATTACCTTTGGTTAAAGCGCACCAAATTTTACCGGTGACGTTTCTTTTTTTCTTTTTCTCTAGTGGAAACAACGAATTCAACCAATCAATCCTACAAGCAATAAAGACACCGACGTATGCTTAGCTTGCGTCTGGTTATCGTCTTCTTAGCGTCCCAAAATCAACGAGGGCCGCAAACAAAGACAACCGGGATAACAGAGGGAAAAGTAAATAATGTACAAAAGGCAGTAGAACCGGAAGCTTTCAATGTATATATACTATATATATATATATATAAAACAACAAACATCATGTGCAAGGATCGTAGGATGTTACATAATTGTAACAAACATTTGGGAATAATAAAAAAAAATTATAAAGGGCTATCGAGTACTACAACAGTTGTATACACACCTACTGAGGTCTGTGACATTCACAGCGTCGATGAAGTGATCTTATAAAATGAGGGTACGAGGCTGAAGGAACTCGGAGAGAACGCTGGCCTGGTTCGAGATGACGCGAAAAAGCATCATGAAGAAAGAAGTGGCCTTAACGCGCGGTAAAACTGCAAATGCATCATACAAGAGGCAGTGTACATACAATGTCTGAGACGTGATTCTCTCTTGTATGATGGTACTGTCCTATTGGTCATACAAAAAAACTGTCTGCAGATACGTTACAGGAATACAAATGTATGAATCTAACGGGGCTCGAACATATTTTAGATATACCTGCAGGCAATCCTGTCATGTCTGCAGCGAAGACAGTGTCTTTTGTATGATGTAGGAACAGAGGGACTGCGGATTTTCTGCAGGAGTAAATCCCGCTAGACGGACGAAGCCCGCCAAACTCTTCACTTGGGACTGGTCTGTGCACTCATGTAAATTATTTAACCTCAGCCACCTAACTAACTTTCTTGTTGGTATCTAGGAGCAGTCACAATGTAAAATGTATGCCCAAAGGAAAGAATTGTGTAGCGCGTTAATTAAAGTGTGCCGGGACGCGGGGAGCGACTTCCTGGAGTTGGTACGCGCGCTGGCCTATAAAAACTACACCACCCACGTTTTTTTTTTTCTTGTTTTTTTTTGTGTGTGTATATGTTAACCTGCCTCACCCTGAATGAGACTCGGAGGAACTCTGCTGTCAAGGCCATGCATGCGAGCGAGTCAGACGTCGCATACAAATGGCCGACGCAACCAATGAAAACGGGAGGGTCCTTGAAACCTGGAGAAAGCTTTTTAGTTGACTTCCGAGTTGCACAAGAACGGACAAAACCAAGGCCGTTTTTTACAAGCACGTCTTCGTTACACGCGTACGAGAAAAAAAGAAAGGTTCTTAAAAAAAGAATGTGATGCATTCTATGTGCTAGGGGCGCAAATATAGCCATGTTGTCGCAATGTGGTACGCAATACCCTTAGCGGGCACGAGGGACAGACTTCTCTAGCTCTGTCCTGTCCAAGTTTTGGCGGCTGTAAACGCCTTTAATCGAAGCGATAGGGCACGCCCAGTTTCGCAATCTTCCAGAAGGCACATGAAATGAAGATGCACAGAAAAAAAAAAGCTAATCATCAGCGCCAGCTGCTTGTGGTTTTCACCCTTACCATGTTCTCCAGTGTGTCATTCGACCAGATGCGTTCCTTTTCTGTTATTATTTGTGAACTTCTTTTTTATGGTTGCGTTTGGTTTATATGGAAGACTTAAAAGTTTTTCTTTAATGATATAATAACAGGCTTCACCTGCTTGGGGTTTGGTATTCTTTATAAACGTGTCTGGTTACGGGGATGTCAACCGTGTAGACAGGCATGCGGCTCTGACGTGACACCATAGCGGTGGCGCTGCTGTCGGTACGGGGCATGCGTCTATGCTTCACCTTTCGTGAATCTAATCTCTGCGCACGTGTAGTGCGCAGAGACAAGCGCGGAATTGTTTGTAAATACCGCGTTGGCTTATGTATCGCTGGATTCGTGTGCGCGTCTTTTTTTTTTCACTCTCCATTAATTTCTTTCTAGATTTAATCGCATAGCTTTTTTCTATGAAGTCACCTTTGAATCAGCCCGTCAGACAAACGAAATAAAAGAAAGTTAATATGAAATCACTTATACAGATACATTGAAACTCATGTGCCTTTCAGACAGTGTGTGTTGCTCAACAAACCCTCGCAAAAATGAGAAGAAAAAAATACTTTAGAAAAGCATTTACACAATAAGCAACGCGAGAAATGTTCCTTTAGGGGTTCGTCTTCGTCAACCACAATGAGTATAGTTTATATATTATATATATAGCACTACTATAGTAGATAGCAACCGTCCGCAAGAAAGTGGAAGAGCTAAGTAACCGCGACTAAAGAAATTACAAACAGAAACAAAAATAAAAACAATCATACACGATGTCAGCCGCAAATCGTCTTGCGTCTAAGTTTCACTGAATGTTACAGCAAAAAAGAACCGCGCCAACCAACGCAACATACTTAATCGACGCGAACTCAGAGCATGTTCAGTCAGTCTCGTTCCTCTTTCTAAAGATCACTCTCACTCAGTCGCTTCTAACCTGTCTTGTCACCCAGCAGTCAACCTTCAAACACTAGGAGCATACACAGTTCAACCTCTCGGACCACTTCTTTTTAGTCATTCCTTTGGGTCAGCTTCTTTTCTCCTGTCCGTTTTTGCATATGACCCGGCATAACGCCACAATTGGCTCGACCTTCTGCACCTATTTAGATGGCCCTACCATTGTTGATTTCAGCCATTTTCTTCAGGTTGCACAAGAATATGGGGCCAATCTCTAAACATTGACTGACTGATGGCCTCCCCTCCTCTCCATGTACTTTCCCACGACCCAAACAAATGAATTTCCTGACAGAAGCAACAGGCGGATGCAAACCTTGGACCTGCATGATACGCCAGTGCAGCCGCGGACAACACAATGAATAACAAATGCAAACACAAAAATATTAATTGAAACTTGTATCCTAAGGAATCCGGATTAAAAGACCTACGTTAGACGCGGTGAAGAAATACCAGGGCCGCAGCGCCCGTCCAAGAATACATCTTTAGAGAGCCCTATGTACCAGTGGACGTGTGTTCGTATACAGTTGCCAAGGAACTTCTGAGGCCAGACGTGGGCAGCGTAAGTTCTGATACCTCTTTTAAAGAACTAAGCGGCACCTAATAGTGGACTAGTAGTGGAAACAAATAGGGGATCATGATCAGAACGTACTGGGCTTTTTTAATTAATGCCCGAACCCCGATAGAGCGACAAACAAAAGAACTGACCGAAAAGCCTCAAGCACGTGCAACATGCATGTGGAGGTATCTAACAGGCTCGCAGTCTCTCCGTGCTCGTGAAGTAAGCGCGAGTGATCCCAAGCTTGCCAAAGGTACTTTCGCGTGCACGCTGCACGTGCTTTCAGGCTTCTCCGTGTCGGTTGCTTCCGTTTGTCGCTCTAGCAGGATTAGGACATAAGACGGCAGAGAAAGATCCAGATGACTCTCCCTGTCCCGTCATGGCCCATCGCGGCCCGCTGTACAGGACAGGTATGTCGTCTGCGAACGTCAATCAAAACGAACTCCTCGCTCTGACTGGGCGATGCAGCGAAGGTGAAAAGCTGACGCGGAAAACGTAAGGGAGTGGCAGGGTAGGGCTTGGGGCCTCTAGATCTGCGTTTCACTGTTGTTCCCGTCGGCGGGGTGGAAGTTGAGTCCCGCGGGGTGTCCGGGCGGCGCAGAAGCTCCCGGAAAAGCGCCGCTCACGCGTCTGGCGTAGGAGCCCTTGCGGGCCGCGTCCCCAGCCTCGAGTTCGAGCCGGGCGTGTTCGGCGTCCATCTTGTCCAGCTCCCCCTTGGACAGGTGGTACACGATGCCCGCCCCGAAGGCGTCGCCCAGGACATTGATGGACGTGCGAATACGGTCCCTGCGAGGTGGGACAGGACATGAGTGCATACACGCGCGGAAACGAAAGCAAGATGCCGGAATGTTAGACGTTTTATACTCAACGAGCGCCGTGATTATGCCCTTTTAGCGCTGTTTGATTAGCTACTTCCGATCGTAGTGTAGACTTTAACGTGAGATGTGAGTATATGTCAGGTGCCCCCAATGGTTTAGCCGGAGTAACACTGTGGTATATGTTTAAAAATAAGATCCGCACCAGAAGCACCGCCTCTAGCCAACAGTCACTGACGTCTTAGCAAACGCAGGGTATGGCTCATTACGCTCACGCTTCCTGCTTCGTCATTGGTTCTTTGACGTCTCATTGTCTAACCCTGCAGTCTCATTGGCTACGGGGAGATAATGAGATGCATGGGATTTGCCACGCCCAGTGACCATAGGATAACCGAAGCCTGCGAACAGCCTCTTCTACCTCCACGTACCATCATCGCGCAAAGATGGAGCCAACTGAGCCTTTTTCGAAAGTCCATCGAGCAACATTGGCGGCCGCCATTGCTCGGACATGAAGCGCGTGATTGTACCCGTGTCCTCGCCGTACGATGACGCAACCCTCGTGTCCAATCTCGTTGGGTGCCGAGTTTACGAAACAAAGTGGTCGGGACTCGTTGTGCCTCGCTTTCCTTAAACTGCACGTCAGCCGAATTCGACTAGCCAATCAAACTGAGCAAACTTTTTGTGCAAAGTGCATATAACTGTTATCGTGTAGCGACGCCATGTTGGGATGCGCTTCTCGTCGTGCAGAGTGAGTCCAGTCGGTGTTACTGACACAGCAACTCCAAAGCTAAAGGTCGGATATAAAATTAAACGCCGAGCTATGTAATCCCTCGATCACGTGTTAAAACAACTAAGACAATTTACGACGTTCAGCCCAGGGATAGTCAAAGACGGGTACACTTGGCGCAACTGGCGTGCAGCGGAACAAAATGGCAGTCGGCCAAGGAGCAGCGCATTGTACAATTCACTTTTAAAGAAAAGCTAGCGGTATTTACTAGGTAAAAGCTAGAAACTGCTTGTCGCATATGTTTCTAGGTACCTATGGACCGTAGGTAGTAACGGTCAAGAGAGTAACGGTTACTAACAGTTAGGTACTAACCAACCTAGTATCTTTCACTACGTTTAGGTAGTGGCTGGCACTGACGCTCACAAGACGTAACCGATACCCGAACCCAGTAGTCAACGTCAAGTTAAAAATTTGAAGAAAACAAAAAGTAATATCGCTGGGATAGATTAATTTTCCACGATGCTTACATGACCATTTGCACGCGTATTACACATTTAACACGGACACGGAATTCGAACAAAGATGACACACACGCGACGACACGCGAACCCATTCGCTGCCCCCAATGGCTACCCTCGCATGTTTTATACTGCTCTTTTGAAAAACGTCGGCTGGTCAGGGACCACCTCGTCCGTGAACGATGTTACAAACATGGTGCATCGTTTGCAATATTGTCCTCCAATATTGTTGCTAAACATTCATAGAAATGTATCTCCTACTAAGAGGTAAGGGTGCAGACAGTAATTATTTGCGGTATTCTATAAAACAGTGTCCCCATAGGTTCCCAGCAGCCATGTTCTTTCCTCCCTGCGTAGCAGATGCAGTTCTACCTGTCGCGCGTTTGAGGCAGTAAATGGCTAGTAAAAAGGTAGTAACGGTCAGAAAAATGTTGTAGCTACCGCACTTACTAACGTTTTACTACCTATCGGGCGCTTGAGGTAGTAAATAGCTAGTAAAAATGTAGTACCGCTCAGAAAAAGATAGTAACTGCTGCAATCACTAGATTTTACCAGCTTTTTCTCTACTAAGAGTGCTCCTCAATCCATTTCAAGGATGCGAACTAATGAGTCACAAAAGCTCCTCCTTCCTGGACGACAAGGTTCAGGAAGGGTCGTGATCCTGCAGCACGATCCAAAGCCCTGCAGTGGCAGCACCCCGAGCTTCCCCAACAAGTCGAGGTCCCAGGAGAGCGATGCCGGAGGGGAGTCCCGCGGGCGTTCTAAAAACAAAACCTGGCACGTGACCAGCCGATCCCAGCGCGAACGCTACCGCGGTTTCCCTTCAGTTCGAGGACAGCCAGGCGACGGAACCGAAATGAAAACACAAAACCACGACGAGACAGGCTAGAGGGCTTTCAAAGAGATTGAGTGAAGTCGCTTTGCGCTGAAAAGAAGCAGCCCGGGTTGTCGTCTCGGCGAATCTGTTCCGGACGGCAATACCTTCTCTTCCTGCTTTTTTTTTTTTTTTTTTTTTTTTATTTTATAGCCGCAGTCGGGAGGATCGGATTCCCTGTTCCGAAATAAGGACCCCTCCTTGTTCGCGGGGCCCCCCATGACCGACTGGAAGGCAGCCTACCAGTTCGCCGCATTGTGCCAGCGGCTGCACACTCGCGGTGGTCTGGGTTTACGCTCTATCTCAAGAGTTTCTTTCGTGTAGCCTTGTGGGGACCACGGGTTGGAGGCTCCAGGCTTTAAGAAGCGCTTTCATCGAGAGAGGGCGCTCGTGCAAGTAGAGGCCGCTCGTGCGAGTCCGAAGAAAAACTTCGTTGCGACCTTTACCTTCAGAGTTCTATAATGCACGAAAATCAGTTTTTAGGAGCCATTGTATCAATTGTTTGGAAGACATTAAACAGCCGTTACGGTAGTGAAGGACCTATATCAATTTTGAGGAAACTGAATGGTGTGTCACGTGTCCAGGAAGGGGGAAGGGGAAGAACTGCGAATGGGGAGGGAAGGGTGGTAGGGCACTTTAGGAGGGAGGAAGGAATGGAGAGAAGAAAGGGGGTGAGAGAGAGCGAGCAAGCAAGGAGAAAGAGGGACGGGAAGGGAAGCACATAGGGAGGGGGAAAGGGCACTGTAGGAGGGAGAAAGGGGAGGGGGGAGAGAGTAATGGGGAGAGAGAATTGGCGTGACATGAAGTTTTCCCCGCTACATTTAGCGGGGAAACTGAATTCACGTATAGGTCGCATGCCGTCTATTTCCCCGAGATGGATAGGCCGCATGACATCACATTACGTCACTTTCCGCGTTATATTTAGCGGAAGATGCAAGGGCGGACCGACTGACAAAATTTTAGGGTTGTGGGTTATCTTAAAAAAGCATTTCATGTTTCAAAAATCGGGAAAATGTGCGCACGCGTTGAGAGCAAAAAAAGAGAGAGAGAGAGAGAAAAAAAAGGGCACTCACAGCATCCAGTCGACAGCGACGATCATGGATATGTCTTCTGTGGGTAACCCCACAGACGTGAGCACCAGAAGCATTGTGACCAGACCCGCGCTGGGCACGCTGGCTGCTCCTATACTGGCAGCTGTCGCCGTGAGGCTGCGAGGGAACAACGAAGGCACCTGTTCAAACTGACGCGTGTCTATCACGTATACATCAGAGGCTACTTCACGGGCCTTTTTCGAATAAACATAGCACCTAGCAGCGGTCATAGGAGCTTATATCAGAGGATTGTCTGATATGTTGGCACACCCGTTTTGTAGAGAGTCCAACCCATGGAGGTAGGAAGCTTCTGGAGGCGACATGACGCCACCGGAGGTAAAGCCGGGGGAGTCTTCCGGTTTGGAGGGACACGCCCCCAACGATGGCCAAAACCAAAAGACGCTATTGGACGGACCACACTTGGTGGCATTACCACCGGCCGCGACCTCTACTTCCGGTTTCACTTGGGGGTTTTCTCGTTTGGCTGGCTCCCGAGCCGGTATGTCGCCTCCTCTTATTTTTACTCCCACGATCTAACCTTAGGAGTCATCTATTAGTTTTGTTTGTTCCCGTTTTCGTCAAGGCACATGTGTGAGTCTCGACTGCTAGATGAAAGTAGAACTTGAGCATGAGCGGAACACATTTCAGTAAAGGTTCATTGGATGCGTATAAGTCCAGACGACAGGAAGTGAGTTTGCTTTAAAATTGTTTTTCATGAATCTGCAGTAGGGGTTAATCTTGGCAAGTTTGTGGTCTTTATCATGCGTCACACAGTGATGATCACTACAAGTTATCTTAATGCAACATTCGCATTCGATCAAAATCGGCCGGGTGGAAGCTTGAACTGGTGATATCCCCTTATGCAGCTTATACAGCCGCTTGGAATGCAGATGCGCTGTTCAAACGGTTTGAAGCAAAAGAGGCAGCTCTGCTGACGTAGAGAACACCAAAAGTGCAAGTAGGAAGGGACTCGAGCAGCGCAGAAGTGTCTAATTAAATTAGAAGGTCAAGAGGGACCTGGTGGAAGGGCGGATTGCTACCTGACAGCGATGACCTCCCCCACGGAGAGATTGATGCCATTCATTTGTGCGATGAAGATGGCGGCTACCGCCTCGTAGAGTGCCGTGCCGTCCATGTTGACAGTGGCGCCCACGGGAAGGACGAACCGGGTGACACGCTTGTCGATGTGCAGGTTCTCTTCCAGACACCGGAAGGTCACTGGTAGGGTGGCCGCACTGTACAAGGACGACAGAAGGCCCGAGTCACACTTCGATACAATGACACGGGTTTTTCCTTACGTTATCGTACCAGTTATTTGTCGCCAGTGCTGGAAATAATGCGTTAAGGCTCGCTCACACTCGCGTTTTCTTAAGACCGAGTCCTTCTGATTTCTTACGCCTAGAGAACACACTGGCCACCTGGCGCCATCTGTGAACATGATGGTAAACCTGACACCGGGGTAGGCAGAAAAAGGAAAACGCATAGGACGACAGAAAAAGAATAGGCAACGTCTCTATTGAGACGTTGCCTTTTTTTTTTCTGTCTGCGTTTGCGTCTTCATTTTCCTACCCGAGTCTCAGGTTTACCATAATGCCCAACTTATATAAGCTCGCCTGCACTCCGACTATTTTTTTGCCGTCTATGAGGTGATCTTGGAACTGCGTTTCAGTAGAGCGCATATTTTAAGATATTAGCGAAACCAGCTGCCTATGAGGAACGGCCGTTTACTTCAGAACACCGGTAAAGGTTTTGCAAACCAAAAAAAGAATTATTCGCGAAAAAAAAAAAAAGGAAAGGTATACGGAAACTGCGAGTGTTCTGCGACAATCCGATAGATGGCGCAAGTGCGTTCTTTTGTTGTAAGATATTTTAAGGTACGCCGTCATAAGTGGTCGCAAGTGTGTGAACCTGGCCTTACATGCAACGACGTTACTGATCACGCGTTAGTTTTTCAATAAAATACTAACGTACTCCTTTGGAATCGAAATGACTAACGAGTAAAGTGATTTAGTTACTATTGCGCGGTATTGTGAACCTAATTATGTTATTCATTATTCATTACTTTGGATTATTATTAGTCACGTTTTTTGACCTTTCAAAGTGGCAACGCGGAACAAGGAATGAACATATCATGAAATTGTTATGTAAAAGTTTAATTCCTGTCGAAGGCGTAAATAATTTCTGACTATCTAACGAGTATCGCTATTTCATAGACCCCTTTCGAAAGTCATGGGTCCATTGTTAGAAGGTCTGAAACATTGCACAATGACGGAACAAGCGACACAGCGGAATGTGAGATGCTGAAACTACATAAGCCAGAAATGAACTGTCATTAGTAGAGTTTATAGGGTTCCAAAATTGGCGGTGTCTTTGGTGAAATGACTGTAAGTCCGCAGGCGAGCTGGTGGTAGCTAATCATGTCGTTTAACGCCTGAAACTGTGGAGCAGAAAAGGAAAATAACTTTAAGACGAAGGAACAAGCACCGAAGGGAACGTCTCTTATTAGTGTCCTTTGTGCCCGCCATTGGGCAGGGATTCCACAGCTTCTAACAGAGAGCACTCTTTCGAAAGTAGTGTATTACATGCTTCCGGTAGCGAAAACAACACCGGTTATCACCCATATATGGGGTGACATTGACCCTCGGGCATTTTTTTCAGATTAGCCAAGAAAATTAGCGCCTCTTCTTAAAGTCTGTGTCTTAAGGCTGGTTCACACATACCCGTTTTCTTACGTTACGTTACGAAAAGTCACCGGGGAATCTGTGCTTCATAACATGCGTGGCTACCAATTCAAGGAGATAGCCTGGCACGTGACATGAGAGACACGAATATTTCGGTGACGACGAGCTAGGATGCTGAGTTCCCATGGCAACCAAGGACACAAGGTTCGTCGTAACGTAACGTAAAGAGTTGAGCTCGGTTCAACCTTTCACACCGCACCGATTTCTTATGTTACGTCTAAGTCACCGAAACATTCGCGTCTCGAATGTCGCGTGCCAGGCTATCTCCTTGAATTGGTAGCCACGCTTAATACGAAGCACACATTTCCCGGTGAGTTTTCGTAACGTAACATTAGAAAACGGGGCAGTGTGAACGAGCCTTTAGTGGTTGCACGTCGTTCAAAGAACGTGCTCTAGAGTACAGTTGTGGAAAGCCGTTTTCAAGATGGAAGACGAGAACTACTTTATTAAAAGCCACAACTGTGGCCTTGTGAGAAGGAGCGCTTGCTCCGCCAGGGCCCCTTGGAGGTCCCAGTCCGAACTGAGCCAGGCATTGCAGCGTTGAGGGGACGGGTACGCGAGGTAGGGAGAAGTGAGCGCAATGTTAGAAGTGTAGAGGATGGGCTTTGTGTCAGCCCTGATCTCCGGGCAGTTGAGACAGTGAGCTGTCCCCTGCCACTTGAAGCGGTAGAGCACTAACGGGGTGAGGAGAGTGTTGGTCTGTACCAGGGTGTAAGATAAACAGGTGGGGAAACGGCCCATAGAAGCTACCGCAGCGCCGTGACCGGATTGTGTACTCGTCTGCTTGCGGGTACCCCCGATTTGCGACAGATGGCGCTGCGGCGAGAGGAAAAAAAGTCGGAATCGGATTTGCGTAGAACTCTATGGGAGAGTGCACAAAATAAACCGAAAGCACGACAGTCCTCCATTGAAAATCCACGAGAAACCATCTCCGTCAGTTTAGCCGGTCGCCACCGGTCGCCCACCTAGAGTGAGAGTTCGCGGAGCTCCACATAGATGGCGCCACAGAAAAAGAGAAACCCGAGGGGGACACAATCCGGTCGCTCGTTTGGCTCTCGTTTCTACACCTGTCTATCTTACACCCTGGTCTGTACTTTGCGGAGGAGAGTGTTGGTCTATCCTTTGCGGAGGATGTGTGCTTGCTCGGTATTGAGTGAGGGGTGGGGTTTGGAAAGGGTGGTGCGGCTTTCCCCTAATATTTCCGAAGTGTTCAGCTATTTGCTTTTTTTAAGTTGCGGCGTTTTCCGTTGACGTTGGTTTTGGCTGACGCGGACGTTGGCCGCTTTGGCATCTACTCAATAAGAAGCATGACATAAAAAAAAAAAAAACACGCCGGAAGATCTCTGACATAGCTGATAACGAGTTCAACCTGCAATTCTACGATCCTCATACAGAACCAGTTTTTAAGAGTCTTAACGTCTGTGCTGTTCAATTCTTATCAAATTACTGACTGCTCAAGAAATACTATGTCGGGGGAAAAACAAAATAACAGTTTTATTGAACAATTATCGAAATTAACATGTAACACAAACAACTCCAACACACGTCACAATGAAATATGAAATATACCTTTTGCACTCCCCAAACTACGGAACCCAATAAATTCTTTACACATTGCCACCCTTACTGAATTCGCATACAGATTAGACAGCAAACACGTTTTCCTCTGGTACTTTGTTCACCTGATATGATTTTAAGTGCATTATTTGTTCAATGTATGTTGCCTTATGTATAAATTGAATAGTTTTTTTTTTCTTTTTGTTTATTATTGTGTAGCCCCGCTGTTGCTGATCTGTAGGGACCAGAAACCCAGTCAAGCAGCACTCCTGTGGCTTTTTGTCTGTGCTCCTGACATCATCATTGTACGATATGATGTCGAATAAATTTGTTCTGATTTGATTTGAAGATTACAAATCAAACCCTACGACGCCACCTTTTTATACAAGCGGCTGTCACGGGAGTAGAGACTCGGTTAACACACTCTTCTGGGCTAGTACAACTTCTGTAGTAGACATGGTCTTCTCGTAGAAGGGGTGCGAGCACCTTAAATAACCATTCAATAATCTAGATTTTTTTTTAGTTCCAGTACGAAGTGCAGCACATGCGTGTGCTCAGAAAAAATGAGGTGACTACCAAAATTAGGAACCCAAAACATTTTCTGAAAACCTTTTATATCGTTTCAGCTATTAGTGACACTGAAAATTGTCTGTAAACAAAAATGTGGCGTTGGGTGGAAGATAGGAAGTGCTACTCAGAGTTATTCATATGGTTTGCTTTTATCCAAACGTGAGTCATGGTTTACCCATCGGTACACTGGACACGCCGCGGGAAATAAAGCAAAAAACAAGGGAGGTAGGTGTGGGTGACTATAGTGAAAGGTCGTCCATGCCTAGATTCACCTGGTACAGATAGCCCAGCGAACGTTGCAGATTAAGGTACCTGTCTGGACTCACATTAAGTCCCCCTAGGGTAAGCAGTCAGCCTCTCAAGCAAGGCCTTCTTATAACGTGGGCTTTGTGGTGTGGTGCCACTGACCTGGAGGCCGTGCCCAGCGCCGTGATCCAGGCCTGAAGCATGCCCTTGAAGAAGGTGACGGGGTTCTTTCGCGTGATTAGGAAGAAGATGAGCGGCAGCGTGATGCAGGCGTGTATGAGCAGGCCCGTGATGACCGTGAGCATGTAGAGACCCAGCTGAGCCGCCGTCAGCGCCAGGTCCTTGATGGACATGATCTTGCCGATGATGAGCGACATGATGCCGAACGGAGAGTACCTTGGAGCATGGGGCAACAGACGTTAGTTTTTTAGACTCTTAAAAACGATGCAAGACAACTCATTATATCGCATGGAACGTAGGTCTATGGCGAACGTTGCAGAACTTTGACAAGCGCTATATATATAGAAACCACGGAACTGTGGTTTTGAATCTTTTAGGAATCCTTGATGTGCTTCTTCCCTTGAACTTATTTAATCTCGTGTTTAAAAGTCGTTCCCACAAAGTTCAACTTCTTTCGTACAATAATGCAGAAAGGATGAAAGTTACCCGTTTTTTGTCTGTTTTTGGAGCAAGCCGAGGCAAAATTTTGATGCTTTCTTAATATTTTGGTCAGTGTGTAGCCAAACTCATTTTACCTCAGACTATTCAAAACATACTGAATTTACCAGTTAACGGCCATAACAAGTTGATAGTACGTATATTCTTATAAGTACAAACAGCGCAACGACACGGACAAAGCAAAATAAGACTAAATGACAACATAATAAGATTTCGTGGTGCGGTAGCGGCTCTGTAGCGGGCTTAGTAACCCCGAATGAGATATGGCACCAATTCTGCCGCAATATCTGTTGGGTCGGCGAACTCAGATCGTATTCTCGAAAAAGAAAGACAGTAAAAGTTGCGCATTATTTCAGGAAAAGGAAAAACAAATTGCCTACGCCCCTTTTTTTTTTTTTTTTCTTTTTTGCGTGCGAAATTATTGAAGCATTCCAGCTGAGCGCGGCAACGTACCACATAACCAGGACGACGATCTTCATGATGATCTCGTTAAGGCTGCCGAAGAAACTCACTATCAACTCTGCCTCCGGGCCCATCTGCCCGGCAATGATGCCGAATGCGATGCAGAACACAATCAGACCTGCGAGGAAGGGAGTTGGTTTACTAACAAACTACTGCGCAAGCTCTAATTTATCTACAATTATCCGCGGAGAGATCACGAAGCTTTCCACAAAGCATCGGGTATTTAGGTTGGAAGAAAAGGCGTCAGAGAATTACCGATGAAACATGGTGGCCTCTGGCATGCCACTACATCTACATCTGGAACAGCTCTCAGACTCTACTCGCGGTCGCTTGTGATACTATAGTTGGTTGACATGAATTTTTATAGCATTTGCTAGTCGGTTATGTAGTCGAACGACTAACTGCATAAGGTCAGGACAGAGTTACGAGTGGTTTGCACCAACGTCGACTTTATATATTTTACCCTCAAATATTGAAAATCAGATAATTACGAAAAGAAAACAGAAACAATTTGCCTTCCCCTCTTGCCCGTGTTTGTCGTCTATCTTGTGTACGTCTTTTTAGCGCTTTAACCATGGTTCAATACAGTCGACACCAACTAACTCAACAACAAGTTCTTTTACTTCCCCTCTTCCTTTTTTTTTTCTTTTTGCTTCTCCGCCTTTTGTAGCGAGTAATGAGGCATTTCATCGAGGGCGGCCACTGCAAGAGTCAATATATCTGGCTGTCATTCCGTTCTTCAAAACACAAAAATAGACCTTCAATGACACAGTCAAGAGAAGGGAAAACAAAGCCAAAATGAGAAAGTGAAAAAAAAAAAGTAAAAAGAAAAGGAGATGTCAAAGCAACCCTGGACGATCAAGCTCAATTGCATCAAGTTTAGAACACGGTGTTCCCATGTGACGGGATTGTTGGCAACGGTGATCGAGCTGGGCAAAAGGCAAGGGCGAGTGTGAAGTGGGATAGAACTGCAGCGGCAAGAGAAAGAGAATGAGAGAAATAGACGGAGAAGGGCACGAGGAACGTAGGGGAGAGACCAGAGTTTTTATACCCGAAGCAAGTGGCATAATGCCAGACCCGATCTCTCACTAACCTTTCCCCTGGGAACCAAGAAGGGGAGGATCTGTCTGTTCTTAACTGTTCGTTTTTTGTTTTTTTTTGTGTTGTTTTTGGCGGAAGTCGGTTGTTTTGTTTCGGCACCCAAATGACCGGAGATCTGATGTCTCGCCTCGTTAAAGAGTAATTAGAGCCGACTTTTGAGGTCACGAGAATATAGGGCGTGCACGCGGATGCTGATGCCTCCTGGTCATCCGGTTCATCGTCGCGGGTTCGGTTACGGTGACATCTTGTTGATTTATAGCCACTACGACACTGTGCATGTTTACAGTTAAGGCTGGTCCACACACTTGCGACTGCTTACAACCGTGTTCCTTAAAACGACTTAAAATCTTACTACGAAAGAGCACATTATAAAGCCATCTGTCGGGTAGGCGTGGAACACTTGGGATTTCCGCACGCTACCTATTTTTTGCGCATCCTACACTCTTTCTTGGCTTAAAAAAACTCTTGACAGTGTTATAAACGACCATTTCTTGAAGGTAGCATACGTACATTTGATCTTGCAGATACTGCAAAACCTTCGCTACAGTGAAATGCAGTCCCAGCGTCACGTCAAAAATGGCGCCAGGGTGCCAGTGTGTTCTTTCGTCTTAGGAGATTGCAAGAACTCGGTTCTAAGCTAATGTAAATGTATGACCGGGCCTTTACTGCCAACTTGCCGTCAGCTGCGACTCTTTATCTTTTTGTGCGTAGGTGCATTGTTGTTGTTTGTCTGTACTTGCACGTAGGCCAGCAAAATTTGTATCTACTATTTCGCGCGAATAAACTCTATTCTTTCTTCTATCTACCACCCCGTGACGCATACTGAGGGCCCATCTTCACACTAAATCAACGGCTAACAAACACTGCTCAGAAACTTATCCACTGTATCTCCTTGGCGTTTCATTTTTACGTTGATGAATCATCAACAGACCACAAACGATCATGCTGGTAAACATTAGGTACCGCGGAGTTGGGTTCATCAAAAATTAAATTAAATTTGATTTGCCTCGCTTGTCCCGCGAATGCGACAACGCCATAAGTGCGCACACCTCAAACACAAACAGCTTGTTGTTTTTTCTTTAAAACCTCAAAGCCACAGTACACTGCTTATGCATCATACACCAGACATGATGACCGCAGCAGACAAACGTCACAATTATCCGCGAACACGTCTTAAGCATGATCGAAGGTCGTTTGCTTCGTACGTTTGCACCCTTCGAACATATTTGCAGACTGTATTTTGCATGATGTATCAGCAATGTGACCCCGGCTTCAAGGCCTGTTCCCACATACACAGCAGTCATAACTCAGCCCACAGACAATACGGAGTCTGCGCTGCGTTTAGAGTTAGACTAGGTGGCGCAAGCTACGACCCGTTATAAAGGCTATAGCCATTAACATCCATCCATCCGTTGGTTTAGTCGGTGATAAGAAAAGTACAAAGACGACGAGAGCCGTGACGAGGCACTTTTGGCGCCGCTTCATTAAAGTCCTATCGTCGGCTGCGATCGCACTTTAAATGAAACGGAGTATGAAGGGAGTTTTATTATGCTAGCAAAGATTGGGGAAACTACTGACCGAGAACGTTGGTTCCGTCCTTAAACTGGAGGACTCTTTTCATGACGTAGACAGTTTCGTTCGAGGCAGTGACGTCGCTCAGATTGGCGTGCAGCGGGACGAATTTGGGCTTGGCTTTTTCTTTGACGTAGGTTGTCTCCACTTGCTGAAAGCAGGCTTGGAGCAGGTTCTCCGGGAACATATTCCTGTGCAGAACCACAATGAACGCAGAGACAATGATTACAACCAGGTTTATCGTAACCATGGTTTTCATAACAGCGGTTCCCATAACCATTCCCATCATGATTATGCTTTCAGTGATTGTGGCAACCACGATCACTGAAAACATAACGATGATGGTTATAGTAAAGTTCTGGAATAGGGCGAATGCGGGAGAGTGGAAATTCTGCTGCACTAGAAAAAGGATACATGTTTACAAACACGTACCGTGGCTAAGGTAGGGGCAAAATGAAATGCAAGGAAGAAACAGACTAATCACAGGCAGCGCCTCGATTTCCTGTCATGCGTTACAGGTTCATGTTTAATTAATTTTATCTTGTTAGGCCTTCTCATCATACTAAAATTTATAATATCAGTGCCGCATTATTCCACGGTATCCCTAGGGAATCATCCTGTGGTGATTTCTTGTGGCAGATCGCAACGGGGTAGTACTCTTAGCCACTGAAGATGCAAATCCGGCGGGGATACAGGCGTCTGCTGTGTACTTCGGTCGTATTTAATATACAATCAAATTTAAAAAGCCCCGTCCGCCTATGACCTACTCTTTACGCTAAAGCCTGTTTTACATGCAGTGACTGCTGCGAATAAAAAATCGGTGCGACCACCGACGCAGCGAGTGCGATCGCGACATTTGATTTCACACGCTCCAACAACCGCGCGATTTCTGTCGGCGCGGCCGGCTGTTCGGAGCGGACACAGACGCGACGTGTTTGACTTTGCCTAAAATACAACAAAAAAGTCTTAATAAACGCAAATGTTTTACGAATACAATATGTGTCTAGAAAGTTTTAATAATTAAGCATTAAACCAAACGTTTTAAGGTGTCTAAATTTATTTTTAAATACGCAACTATCGCGGATGAAAGCTGGCAAATGAACGGCAGGTGACGATAAAGTGATCGCACCGACTCTGCGAAAAAATACCAACTTTGTTGAAAAAAAGTCGCAGAGCCGCCGCGATATTGCGACTGCGATTTTAATTGCACATTTACTGGAAATTGCACCGATTTCGGACGAGGATCGCAGCATGTGAAACAGCCTTAAGCTTGGTATTACGCTTCGATTACACAGTTCAAAATGCAAGTTTCCAGGCTATGCTGTGCGCACAACCAAACCGGTAGGAGTACCCTATCCATTTTCACAATGAATAGTTTATTCCTATGCCGACCTTCTACTTGTTTGTGGGCCAGCAGAAAGAAGAAGAAAAAGTATACACGAGCCAGGTTACATTGATTGATGACACAGCAAGCTCTCACAATGGCGTCACGCCTTTGGCGAGTTGCCATTGTCGAAGCTCGCCGCCCCAGATTATGACGTAAAAGAGCTTCTATTAGGTCAGACTACCACGAAACCAAAAATGCTGGTGCAGAGAAGATAAACGACGAACTGATGGGAGATCGTTAAATGGCGGTTGTAAATCGTTCCTGTCTCGCCGATGCCATTCTCTGGAGCTCAGTCCCTATGTACTTGTCTACCTTCGGACTGCTACCGCGGCAGCCGTACCTGACGAGGTCGAGAAACGCGTCGAGGGTGGAGACCTTCTTGTCCTCGGTGCCTGTGCCGACCTCCTCCTTGATGGACGGGTCACCCGGGTGGATGAGCGACACCATAATGATGCCCACGATGGCCGCGAAGATGGTGGTCGCGAAGTAGTAAACCAGCGCGCGAGATCCCATCTTCCCACTGGACTTGGGGTCCAACATAGAAAGCCCTGGTCAAGAAGACGGGAGCGGAGACAAGAGCGGAAGTTCAGAAAAGCAAAAAAATAAACTATAAGGGTAAATTTTTCTGGCATTCCCTAGCTGAAAATGTATTCTACACTCATAAATTGATTTTATGGTATCGTGTTAGCCCATGCCCGACAATAGACCACTACCAAAGACTGACTGCACGGTTCCACAGTTGCTTGCACTGATTAAAGTATTACTGGCATTTGTAGTAGGGTGTCACTGTTTTCCATTGTGGATCCAACCCCATGGTACAATATATTTGCAAACAATAAACACCGCATTTCGTTACCTCCCCGCTCCAAAAAAAAAAAAAAAGTGGAAGCTTTAGTTTGGAATATGACGGTTAGTTAAAATATTTCGCATCTTTAAGAGAGCTTCTTCAAGACAGCTACTTCAAAATAGCTTCTGCAAGGTAGCTTCTTCAAGATACCTTCTTCAACTCAGCTTCTTCGAAAGAGCTTTTTTGAGACAGTTTTGTCGAAAGAGATTTTTTCAGGGCATCTTCTTCGAGACATAACTTCCTCAATACACAGCTTCTTTAAAACGTAGCTTCGCTTCTTCAAGACATACCTCCTTCCAGGGTTTCCTTTGAAACTTAGCTTTCCTTCAGCTAATTCTCTCAGCGTAACGTTGCCTGTCAGTTTCAGGCTTCAAAGGTTCCGTTTCGGGCTCATCTGACAATAACCTACTGTCTCTGTATTTTGTGTGCGATTTTAGTTTTTCTTTTTTAAGTTGACAACTCGTGACCCTGTTTATGCAATATTCAGCGCTGGCAATAAGTATGACAAAAGTTGGGAGACTATATCTATATAAAGAAAAAAAGCTTATTTCAGAGAAAATTCTAGCGTGCAGACAAGTGGGCATGCGCACCTGATATCATGGAAGATATGATGAGCGGCAGGATGAGCATCTTGAGCATGCCCATGAGGATCTCTCCCGGGAAGGAGACTAGCATGATGACATCTTCGGTGTACGAGAAGAACCTCGCCAAGAAGCCTAGCAGCAGGCCCAGCAGGACTCCCACGATGGTGAGCACGAGCAGGAGGTTTGTCTTCATCCATGCTGCCACCTGTGCGTCGAAAATGGAATCCATTATATAGTAATTTTCCTAATGCAAGGGCGGTTAGTAGCGTCGCTCACTTCTGTCAACTTCTCAATAGCAAATCAATAGGAGAAAAACGTCCGAAAAAACACGAAATATGCGGAAGGTAGATAAACAATGTCCATCTATCTTCTTGAGACGTTGTTTGTCCCTCTTTAACCTGGCCTTTTCAGATTTAAATATTTTTGGTTTTCACGCCTCACTCTCGTGTTTTTGACACCAACGAACAACTGCCCGCTCAGTGACCCACCGTGCCAAAGAAGTGAACAATGGCACACACAATTCGAACCGGACACGACGGACGACAAAGGAGACAAGGGACTCCTTTGTGGTCCGTTACTTCCGGTAAGGATCCTGTGTAACGTGAACCAGCTCGTCTGCTTATTAACCACTTCTGAACAACGAATATAGACGTTTGCAAGTGCGTCCTCAGGACGCAACCGGCTCGCTGCAGAATTCTGTAAATCATCTGATGGTCAAGCCAAAAGCGATCACGTACGCTGCTCTTCCGCTTAACGACCATTGTGTCATCTTGGTGCTTAAACTCATTGTTGCCAGTTACTTAAATATTTATCACAGAAAACGCTTTTCCGTCCTCCAGACTCCAGAGGTGTTAAGGGGGTTCGTGACAGGGCCCAAGGCGATATATATATATATATATATATATATATATATATATATATATATATATATATATATATATATATATATATATATATATATATATATATATATATATATATATATATATATATATATATATATATATATATATATAACGCCTGAGCTTACTGACAGAGTTTGCAAATATCAGGAAGTGGCATTTTCGTATCGTAACGATCGCCAATGGCGCCCGCACTGCACTAGGCACCAAAATGGCGGCACCCACAAGAAAATCTGGGATTGGATATTGTAAGCGGGGCTAATTTAGAGGCTCTGCAGGCAATCCCTGCTAAGGCGTGCCCGTGGCTGCCAGACTATCGCCAAAACATGGATGGACATGCTAATGGCCGTACCTTTCATAACGGGGCGGTAGTTCGCGACACCTAGCCCAGACACCAAAAGTATCATTCTTACCCTCGCACATCTTTTCACATTCACGGTGCCCAGACTAGCTTTTAAAGCGTGATTGCTTGCGCGCATCTACAATGTACCCCCCCCCCCCCACACACACACACACAAACTCGCACACACAAAAAATACAGTGTTTTGTTTTTCACTTTAACAATACAAAGCATTTGAACGTTCAGCCTTCACCAAACTGTAGTGCTAGGGGATCAGACCAGATGCCAAAGATACAGAACAAACTGTTATATTATAAAAAGTTACAAGAGATTTTCGGATATTTCCGTTGGGAGAATGGTGGCCGACGAACCCCACAATGAATGGCACAAACTACACGTAAGGGAACACTTCTTTTTTTTTCATTGAAACTCTGAAAATGAAATAGAAATTGAAAGAAAGCCGCATCACTTATAAGTGCATAATTTCGATGTACATATGTATACAAATATATCGGACCTTCACTAGGTTCCTACAAAATATTTTCAGAAAATGACTTCTAACTTTTGAGCAAGGTAACTGCAATCTCTGAAACTTTGTCATCTAGTTCGGACACTAGCGCTGAAGTTGGGCGGAGACCGAACATTCGACAATGCGTACTTTATCTTTTTCGCGATACAAGCAACAACTACACTGTCAAATTATTTTTTCGGTAACAAGCGTATCCAGAAGCCCGCGGTTCTTGGTGCTTGCCAGTGTAACCAAGCAACAGCGAGGAATCCGAGAAGAACGGATGTCACACCGGATGTTCCCTTCCGGGGGGTCTAGCTTCCTCGACTGGATATAATTCCACGATCAATCTAGAGATGTGTGATCCTCTCTCGTCCGAGACAAATTGACTAAATTGGATGCAACGCCGGGATGCGTAACTCACTTTGTCGAGGTCGAGCTCGGAACTGCCACAGAAATATAGCGTGAACATGACAGCTAACGGAGAAAAAAAAGAATGAAAGAAATTGGCAATGTAAGTTTGTTTTTTATATCACCAAAGTTCATGATTATAACCCTGCGGTGAAATAAGTACAAAAGCAAGTGATCCGAAGTTAAGGCTGAGCTTCAAGAATGATAGAACCTATATATGCAGCGTGAATTGTTTTTCACACAAAGCTCTATGAAAAAAAAAAAAAAAGTAATAATGTTCTCAAACTTTTTATTGAGGGAATTACTATTGAAATCGAATAATGTTGTCGTTCATTTCGCCAACGATTACAATGGGGTTGGCACTATGCTTCGTTTTAAGTCCAAAGGCAGTCGACGCTAGGTGCTGATGGGACCAACCAGACAGCGTCAAAAGTGCACGATCATGGTGTTCGTCATGTCCATGTGCGTGTTCTATAATCGCTAGACAAAGCATGTACAGGGAAGGCCTACAGTGCTTTTGACTCCGCATGATTGGTCTGGTACAGTCGGCTGCGCCCATGTACTTAAGCTGAATTGAAGTACAGCCAGTTATCGGGGAGGAGATACACACGCCGCGCCCCTAGCGGCTAAGTAGGAACTAAATTTATGGATAAAATAACAACATACATTCTTCGTTTGTTTCTGATGCAGCTTTCGGCACCAGAGAGTAGTTAGTTACTTTACTCTCACCGACGAACTATTTAACACAATCAGCTTATAACCGCCATTGCTTCACTTAGAGAAATGACCAGAGGACGCTTCGAAAGACGATAGCGCGTTTTCGCATAATGATACGCCATTCTTTTGTTTTGAAATTGGGAAAAAAGTATGTTGAACTCGGAAGTTTTACTTTCCTCGAATAGAAAAAAAAAAAGTAAGTACGAGTGCATACTCAGAGTACTCACTTCAAGGAAAGTACAAGTTTTCTAAACCAACTTGAAGATATAGTACTTGGAGTACAATGTACTTTAAGTACTTCCCATCATCGCCAAGCGATAATATGATGCTCTGGACTCACCATGCAAGCCCTCCATTTCTTAAAGTTGTCGGTGACTATAAGTTTTCATGCCACAAGATGCGCGGCGTTGACGCAATCTAGCAACCGCCCTAATAGTGCAAACAAATGTCGAGAGATAGCCTTAGGTGGCACGCGCCGCACGACGGTGTGGCCTGGTGCTTTCATGATACATATAGTGGCGCCGTGCGGCGATTGGTGCGCTATCACCACAAGGCAACACCTCCAGATAGCAAGACCGGAGTGCTCAATGTTCCACATCACCTAAATATTCTACGTCGCCTAAACACTTTGAAGAGGAGCCTCCTGCAAACATTGACGCAGCACTCAAGACCAATCCGTACCCCGAGTTTGCCTCTTTAAACCGTGGTTACAATACATCATACAAAAGGCAAGATGTTCGTTGCAGGCAAAAGGACAGAATTATTTGAGGACACGCCTCAAGCAGTATCGGCATTATGTCTCTTGTATGGTGTATTCGCAGTGTGGACGCCGCTTAAGGTATTGTTTGAGGGTCTAACAGAGCAGAAGCACAGACCTTCCGCCCTAGACTCTGAGGTGTTTCTGTTAACCGAAGGACTCATACTCTATGGGGATGTTTGAGGGTGTAACATGGCAAAAAGGCACTGACCTACTGCCCTATGCTCTGGCATGCTTCTGTTAACCGAATGACTGATCCTCTATAGGGATGTTTGGGGGTGTAATATGGCAAAATCACTGGTCTTCCGCCCTAGGCTGTTAAGTGCTTCTGTTAACCTAAGGACTGATCCTCTATAGGAATGTTTGGGGGTGTAATATGGCAAAACCACTGACCCTCCGCCCTACGCTCTGGGGTGCTTCTGTTAGCCGGATGATCCATGCCATTTAGGAATGTTTGAGGGTGTAATAGGGAAGAAGGGCAGTGACCTTCCGTTCTAGGCTCTGAAATGCTTCTGTTAGCCGGATGACCGATACCCCGTAGGAATGTTTGAGAGTGTAATACGGTGATAGCACTGACCTTCCGCCCTAGGCTCTGGGGTGCTTCTGTTAGCCGGATGACCCCGGCGGCGGCTCCACCCAGCATGGGCGTCTTGGCGTTCGCGTCCGGTTTAGACTCGGGCATGCCTGGGCGTCACTGGGCGCTGCAAAGAGGGGAACCAAGAACATAAACACCAGACTTCAGCGACGCGAATTGCTTCCAGATGAAAGCGTATCTACTCCGTTCACCCCAGAGCTGACAGTGCCGTGGAAGCTACGCCCTCGCCGGACCAATCCACCGCCTCCCTTTCACCACCTGACCCCGCTCTTGGAGCTTGAGTATGAACAGGCGCGTTATGACGTGGCGAAAGAGAGACGCATCATTGGTGCAACGAGCACAGCTTCCTTAGCGCTGTCGGTTCGTGGGTGAACGGAGTCTAGGCATCGTTGCCTTCTGCATGCTGCAAGCAGGCTGTGGGATCGCAATCTGAGAGGCTCAACCAGCACTAAAACGTTGGTGCGGAGGGAATGAGGAAACAAAAAGCTCGATCGCATTGATATTTGAACAGATATACCGTCATTGCAGAAATGAGAACATTTTACGCGCTTCAGACGGAAATTATTTTATACAGTTTAGTATTCAAAGGTTTCAATCAGTTATATCGATGAATATAGCTGTGAAGCCTCAGTATTTCAGGTCTGCAAAATTAGAGAGGAAGTGAAGACATATCTTTGGATCGAAGTGTTGAGACTAAAATAGTTAGAACAACCCCAGAAGATCAAGCCTTTGGAAAAATTTCAAAGGTGCCACCACGCTTGAACTTGATAAAAGAAGGCAAAATAACCTTTAAAAAAAAAAAAATCACAGTTGCAGGCATAGAAGCTGCATAATTGAAGGCATATATTCTCCAGAATGACAAAGAAATACACCCGCTCAGTGTGATAAGTGGCCTAATTAAGCCCCATAAGGAGCGCTTATACCCTTTCATTATACCACAACGTGCAGATTCGCTAGAACGAATAAATAGGGCTCCATGACTGTGCGATACGCAGTCGTTTCATGTGTAAACTTCGACACAATATATACAAGGTGACCCAAGTCACGAGGCTCGATCTAAAATGAACCGTAAAAATCGACGCCTGCAGGTAGCAATCTAAACTTTTCGTCAAAGGTGTACTTCACAGGTCGGGTTTTTCTTGTAAAATTACAAAGCGTAGAGCTCTCTCTTTCTGTAAAACCATAAGGCCAAGAAACTTGCCAGGGTCTACGGCGGGAGGCGACGCAGACGATGGTGCTACCTCCTTATTGCGACGGCTCGCGACCACCGTGGTTTATTAAAATGAACATAGCCTTTGTCAAATGTACATTTGGTTAAAAAATAAAAGCGAACAATAAAAACAAAACTTAAAGTAAAACAAAAAAAACGCGTCTGTATAACGACGGCACTTTTGCTGCCAACGGATTTCGTCTGCGTGTCGTCTGCTTTCTTTCGCTGGTCAGCTGCACCGTCGGACGCTGCTCCCGACGCCATCTATCAACACAAACGCCAAACACACCCGCTACTGGACTTGGTCGTAAGGGTCGCCGGCCGCCGTAGACCCTGGGAAGTTTCTTGGCCCTATTTTTTACAAAAAAAACAAGGCAAAAAACAGCTACGCTTTGTAATTTTACAATAAAAAACCGACCCGTGAAATACACTTTTGACGAAAAGTTTAGATTGCCACGTGCAGGCGTCGATTTTTACGGTTTCTTTTAGATCGAGCCTGGTGACTTGGGTCACCCTATACATTTCGTAGAAGAGAACGCGTGTTGTCTTATCCTTAAAGTGTTAAGCCGCCGTCAGACCGCTAACAGAACGCACAAAAGGCAGTTTGCAGACATCTCCGCAGATAACTCCGAGTCTTTTGTATTATGTATGAGCAATGTGGTGACTGCGGATTTAGGGCGGCAAGGCAGTCCCACACGCTTGTGAGCTGAAAGATCCACCGCTTCGGACTCCCACCTGATCCCGACTCCCTCACCATAAAAGGTGCTCTCGCGAAACATCAATGCCTCGATCGTTCTCTTTTAAACGATGTCGAAATTTTTCAGCCTTCGAAACGCTATCACCTTCGATAGAACGGACTTGCCTCCGGAGTCGTGCAGGTAGGTAGGTACGCGTAGAAAATCATCTTTTCACGGAGCCTGGCATGACGCAAGAACTTTTTTTTTTTTGTGCTTTTTTATTGTTTGTTGTAAAGCCTGGGGAAAACAAAAGCTCCGCCTTGTGTAACATCAATCTCCTTCGCAATCTGAGCAGGAGAAACCACTCCGAATCCCAAGCAGGCGAGACACATCTCAAGTTTCGGTGGGGTTGCTCTTTATTTTCCTGCCGCAGACTAGAAGCTCAAGGCGGGGGGGAAGGGGGGGGGGGGGGGCAGGCAGACTTTGTGTGCGTCAACCCCTCTCAACCTTTTCTTCTTCCCGGCTCCAGTTTTTTTTTTTTTTTTTTTTTTTTTTTATCTGGCTAACACACGACAGCAGCAGTTTCTAATCTATTTCTCGCTTATTTATTTCTTCATGTATTTCTTTTACATTAAGGTGTTCGCACAGGTCATCTTTTTCGCAATCCGGACTCTCGAAATTACATGGACGTATGTTTCTCCGTGATTCCATTCACGCGGGGATCACTATACAGTCGCTGCCAGGATGTTAACGGCAAGTATGTCTTCTATAGTTGTCAGTCCTCCAGCACAAGCTGCCTACCGTCTATAACACTTCGGCATGCGGTGTGTTTCAAGCGTGCACGCCTAACCATAACCCGAATAGCCATCGATCGTGCTGGAGGCCGGGCCAGCTCGCTGTTCTCATTCCGTTGGTGCCTGCTGTCAATACCGAGCTAGCGTCTACATCACTCTTTTTTTAATCACATTTAATATGCACTTTGCAGGTGCGTTCGTTGTTGCCATATTGTTAGCCATTCACTTCGAATCTCCAACAAACACTGCGAGCACCGTGCAGCCCAAGTACCTACAAATCCAGCATGTTTCTTGGCGTTCCAATCATCTTGGAAAAGGTCTTCTGTACATTGGCCTCAAAACGTTATTTATTAGAACTATGTAAGGTGTCCCAAGCAGACCTTCAAATCAAATCCAAATCAGTTTTATTCGGCGAGCAGACAACAGATTGCGTCGTCTGCTTGCTGCGCCTATCGGGAGATGGCGCCATATGTAAATTGCGTCGCTTACTCCCCGGTCACCTGCGAACGCGTCCAACCTTAACTTTAGCAATTTTTTTTTCTTTTTTTACCGGAAGAGATTTATGCATTGAAATTCGATACGGTAACACTGACCTGCTCTGTACACATTCGGTGAAAGTTTGAGCTTTCGATGCACGTTTTCACTGTTAACAAAAATTTGCGGTCCACACGTGTTAAATCACAGTCCAGCCAGCGCTCGCTTGCAATTGCGGCCAGCCAGAAAATGCGCGTGCATAACACACAAACACAGAAATAAACGCGCTCTCATACACGTTAGCGGAAAGGTGTATAGACCTTTCCAAAAAGAACTCCTGGCCGGCTTCATTTTCAGTGTTCGTGCGTATGGCGCGTGATTTGCTCGCTTTCCGAAACGACGAACATGCGCTTGCTGAGCGGAGGAGATCGCACGCTGGGCTGAGGACGTGTAAATATTGGAATGGTGTATACACGCAGGGCGCCCCCGATTTTGCCTGCTCCTTTTACAGCAAAAGGTCCGCTTGGGACACCCTGTATACGCTGCTTGCACGTGATGTCATATCATCTGCAGCTCGTCATTCCTGCTTACTCTTCTCGGGGAAAACAAACTTGGTGGTGCGAAATATAGGCTGCTGATCATACGCGCTCGGCAGAAAGGTCACCCCAATGGTAAGCAATGTGACGTCAATGCGAGCGACGTATACGCAATTTCAAGCAGGACGTCTGGCCGCCATCGTATTGTCACGTACGTGCATGGTTGAGCTGGCAAAACATGCGGCTGCCAACCGGAGGAACGGAGTTCGAACCCCATTGTACCCGATTCTTCCTTTTATAATTCTGTACTGTTCTGAAAAGTTTATCATTCCCGGCTGTCATTAAGTCTTCTGGTTCAGAACTTTCCTGGACTTTCCGCGTGTAAAGCAGCGGTGACGGGCGGTGTGCTTCGGTACAGTCGCTCTTCCGTCGCCGACGAAAGATGCATATACCTTTTACATTTGTATACACAAGTTCTCTTCGTTAAATGTCACATTTAAGCTCTACGGTAATCTGCTCCTTATTATTCGTGAGAACATACCTGCTCCTCTGAGCAAGCACGGGCAATTACAAACCTGCCAAACGTATCTCGCGCACCTTCTGCGCGTACTTGCACGGACGGGACACCATCCGGGAGGCTTTAAAAATAAAAGAAGAGCATAAATAAGCGAGCGCCTCTGCCTTCCGCCTTCACGAGCAGCAACTCCGCGGTGTATTCGGAATACGAAATGACTGGTTTCTGCTCGTCTTGACCTTGGGCTTCCACCGAGCGTAGCACAGGAACGAGACAGCCGTTTGTCCCTTCCCGGTCGACCCGTCCTTGGAAGCGTGTGGACAGACAGAGGAAGACAAGCCTATTCTTCAAACTCTAACAAGCACTTCATCGACGACGCCCATCTTTACAACGTTCCATCCCTTTCCCCCTCCGGAAAACAGTTGGTTCCGCTCTTGACTGCAGTCTTTACCAATATGTCCCATTGGGCGACGTGTGCGACCGCTAGAGTCGTCTGCTCGACCTTCCATGATTGGCCAAATGTTCACTATATGACGTTCTGTGTATGATGAATTCTACTCTTGATAATGTAAGTAAGGTGAATGCCAGCCCGCCAACTTTGATGGTGTTGGTTTAAAGACGCCATGACAGTAAGCTTCCACTGTGCTCTTTTTGCACACACCGTCAAAAGTGTCGCCTTGCACAATGAATAATTCTGGTCTCGACGTCATAGATGGCAACCATAAGAGGTCGCCACCACGAAAAATTTCGTCGCCAAAGTTGTTGAAAGCCTAACGAAATAGTGCGTGGCGTGTACAGAGCATCCCATCGCTCCTCACCAATCAGAATGCGGCATTCCCCGATAAGCTTGAAGATCAACGAATCACAAAGCAAAAGGTCGGAACATCATAAGCCACACCCT